TAATCGAGCATGTTCACGAGCTTCTAAGCGAGATTGTTCGTGAACATAAATAAATCGAACGTGTTGTTCAAGCTCGTTCATTTAGCTATTGAGTATTTATCAAGTGTGTTTAAACTCATTTTTTACCTTATCAAACGAACATGAACGAGTCCTTATCGAGCCGAGCCACGGGCAGCTCGTCGAACGCTCGGTTCATTTGCAGCCCTACTTCTCTATCAATCTATAATTTAAATATTTTAAATAAAAGATGTTGAGAACTCTTATTCAAATGTATTTAAAACCACTCAAAGGAACCACGTAATTATTAATTATGTATAAAGTTAAAAAATATTCACCATTGCCCAACCATAGCTAATGCGGTTTTCGATGAGATCTTATCTTCATCTTGCTGGGAAAGAAAAAACTTCACTATCCAAAAATGTCTCATAAATATGCAAGTGCAATAATTGAAAGCGGCCAGGGTAGTTAAAAATCAAATTTTCAGTTTCAAAATATGATTTGTTTGGAGTTTATTCTTTCCAAAATTTGACCATTATGACTATGATTGTTTCAACAGCCAATCATCCAAATTTAGCGGAAAAAATTTATTCGTACTGTGATCTAAAATACAAAGCATAATTATGAAAAGAAAGCAAACATATATAAAAAATTCAGAAATTAAAAAAAGTGAACAGAACATGCAAAAAAAAAGGAGCTTATAATGGGTATAAAAATGAAGATGCTTCCAGTTTATCAAAATCACAGAAAACAATAACAATGATTTATACATTTTAGATTTACTACTAGTTCCTTTTGGTTGCTCAAGTCACTAGATTCAAATATTAAAGGACATGCATGTTATAATGGAAAGCATTGATATAGCATCATATTAGTTTATACAACAAACCAAAAGAAAAACAGTAGAATATTAGCATTAAAGATGATTAGAAATGATGAAATAATAAAGGTGTGCATCTCAAATAATCCACAAATGAGGCCAGCAAGCTACTTTACAGAAATGGTTAGACAATTTCAAGCTGATGCCAAATAAATTCTGTTATCATAATGCATTACTCAACACGTAGGTCATATTTCCAAGAAACAAGCATAAACAAGAAATTCAAATGATATAGTTTTAGTTTAGTTATAAATTCATCACAACATTAGTAGAAAGACAATTACTAGCTACACTGAACAAACAACCTAGGAAAGATAGCCCGGTAAATTACTACATAACACAACAACAAGCTTTAATATTGCAAAAACAACAAGGAAATACCACCCTCTCTTGCTACGTCTCACCTATGATGCATCAACACTTTATAATATCAAAATATATAGTGCCAAACACATCCTAAAGATGACACACCCAACAAGTACTAGACACACAAGCAAAATGTCTGATTAAAAAATAATAAATAACTGAAGGACCTGTGTGTTGTAGGTTAAATGAGATAGCGATGATTGTAAGGACTGAAAAGTACAAGAGTTGAGTAGCAAGAGACTTTAAATTTTGAAAAAAGAATGAAATATGCTTTTAATAATTAATTTATTTAGATTATAATTTTACACTGTTTATTTTTTTTCTTTTGTACAAGGACATAATTTATCATTAAATGAACTAGCTGTATGCATTTCATATTTTTTTAATTTCTAAAATTACTATACACCATGCTTATATATATAGTGTGTGTGTGTGTGTCATATCAAGCGTGTCAATCCTATAATTATAATAATAGACACGTCTGATATGGACATGATATTCGTATCATATCATGTCCATATCAATGCATCAGAAAATCTTGCATTGAAATCAAACTCCCATTCTCAACCTTAAGAAAAGTAAATTCCTAGCGGCTGGCAGGGATATGAGAAATTTAGATACCAATTAATAGGCATCCAAAAAACTAGGCGACAGATTAAATGGGAGCATAAAGCAACAAACTAAAAGCCCATCTTCATTTTGGATAAATAAGTTAATTTTACGTTAATCGTACATAGGCTGCTTAAATTGGTTGGCGTTCAATTGATGGTTGTTCATTAAGTTGTCATAATGGCATAATGCCTTCTCCATCCTTCCAAAATCATTCTTTGAAACCTTTCTTAAAAGTATTAAGAGGAACTTTGTAACCATTTCTCAGCAGAATAAAAAAGTTTAGTAGCTTTTTTTTTTTTCATTTTCGGAACCACAGCAGGACAATGTCAAGTTCAGATTCAGCTTTATTTCAAAACTAACACTTTCATAACTAGATGGTACATAACAACCATAAAATCATCATCAGTATCATTAGTTTTTTACACAAATATCTTTGCAACTATAAAACACATAACCAAAATGAGAGAAAAAGAAAAAGAACCAGCAATAACAACATACCACTCCATGAAGGCTGCCAATGCTCAGGATGATGGTTCGATATGCTCAGGCATATCTTTGTCTGGGTCTCAAAACGCCCATTTGGCTGGAAAATTTCAGGAAAACAGGGGTCAAATCAAGTTAAATAACCAGTTGAGCGATGAATTAGAAAAATGCTATCCTGAATGGAATTGTACAACAAAAGAGTTTCAGTAATTACAGTTAGTAGCATGAAGGAAGGGGGCTTGAACGGGTAATCCGCAGGCAGCTGAATTCTTCCATGGTAGATCCCTCCTTCAAACTCCGAATCACGCGGCCCCAAAATCGCAAATTGCCACTCGAATATATTTTCCTAATCCAAAAAGGTAAACTTCAATTTACAAGGTTGGAATATCCTCCCATGAAAATCTAATTCCTCCTAGAAATTCCTCATCCCGCAACAAACCCATATATAAAAAACAGTCATCTAACTCCAAAATCAGATCTCAGATATTCAACATACTCTAATCAGACTGCAAAACCATTAAGGTTATCTCATTTAATTGACAAGGAGAACTTATTAAAGGAAGATCTACTGCATGGAGACAAGACATACGTTTAGGGTTACAATTGAAGATACCTCTAGAGGTAGGCTCATGAAATCATCTGAAGGATTGGACTGCATCTCCTTCACTTCCTGGAGTATCCGCTTCACCGCCGTATTCCTCCGATTATATTTCTCCTCCGCCATCGACCGCCGCTGGACAGCTCCGACCTCGATGGCTTGGATATGCTACTAAGCCAAGATGGCTGCTCGGAAATGAAAAAATATTTTAAAAAGTTTATAGGGATTTGTAGGATAAATTTGTAAAAAAAAAATTATCTGGATAAATTGTGATATACGTATTTTAGGCGTGTCAAATCCGAAACAGAAATTGATCAGAATATGGTCAAATTGAACATAAATCGTTTAATAAACGGGTCAATAATGTGAATTCAGAACTAACCCTTAGTAATCCGAATGACCTGATAATTCATTTTAATTAATTTTTTTTTTAATTTTTTAACTACAAATTTTTATATTAATTAAAAAAAATAAAATAATTATACTACCAATAATAAACATTTAAGAAATAATTATATAATGGGTTATTTCAGACAAAATTTGAGGTTAGCAAGTAATCCAATCTGAACTTTACTCGTTTAATATAAAACCTCACGAACTTAAGATTATTTAGGTGGTGATCATTTTTTTGACACCCGCTGAATGTTATTTAAATTAAAAGAAAAATGTTTTAGAATAATTTTAATAAAATTAAAAAATAAAATTAAAAATATAGACAAATGTCTTGATTAACAAATAATTAAAATAAGCTTTAATAATACCTAACTTTATATTAAATAAGTATAATTATAAATAATTTATTTATAATTATGCAACAAATTTAAAAATCTTTTTTTGAAGATTTAATACATTAGTTTTTTTTATTTACATTCAAATAAACACTATACAAACATTATTAGATTTATTTTAAAAATTAGTTTTATATAGCATATATATGAGATTTTAAAATGTTGCACTAATGGATATTTTATATATTCATTAATCTAAAAGTGCAATTTTATATTCTATCTTAATTAATATCTATGTTCAAGAATTCTTAATATAAATTTGTATGCTTGAATTTGTAATTGCATTATAATTATAAAACATCTTAATTTAAAATTTATAAAATATAAATAAATTTTAAACTCTAAAAAATAGTGAAGAGATCCACAAATTTGAAGAAGAATTATAAAGAGAAAGAAATTTTTTAAAATACTGCATTCAATATATAAATTTTTATCTCTTCAATATTATTAAAAATTGTAATATTTTATCGCAAATTATAATTTAATTTTACATAAACACTAAATAATAGAATAAAGGGTTCATAATAGTTTTAATAAGAAAATAATAAAGTTAAAAATGCATTTATGATGAAATATAGCATTAACAAACAATAATATAAAATATAATAAATTATTTTTTTATCATAATTTATAAAGAATTTCAACAAGTCTAAAATAGCAATGGCTAATGTTTAAATATAATTTATATAAATATATTTTAAAATATTTATATTTAATATTTTAAAATAAGTTTATATTTTATTATATATAATATAAGGCGTTAGACTCGCATTTTAAAATTTGAACGCGGAAGAGAGGATGGCTGAATTCAGGCTAAGGTAGGTGGACGGTTCGTGTGGCACGACGTCCGATGATCTGTCTGACGGCTCTGATCTTTGATTCCCATTTCACATTGTGGCAAACCGAAATATCCTTCAAGTGTCGTGCACCGCGTTAGGCTACAGCTGGTGTGGGCCCAACCACATGTAACTTTGTTAGACATTTCGGCGGTTGGATAGTGTTTGGGTCATTTTCTTACTTCTTTTTATAGCTAATTTTAATTAAATTTTTTTTAAATAGAAAAAACTATCTCTAATGAAATCGTTATCTAATTTATTAATTAAAAGTTTTGAATAGAATTAAATTTACTAATCTATTAGCAAAATTAATATTTTTTAAATGCTCATAAGTTCAAAGAATAAAAATCTTAAAGCCTAAGGCGCGTAATTTTAAAGAGTAATATTAACTAATTTTTTTAATCAGATTTATATACTAATAAAAATAAGCATAATTTCATATTTATTCCAAATTTAAAATGAATTTAATTTTTTAACTGCCACAACTTAAGAATGGCCGCAGCCAAAATCTCTTTTAGATTGTTGAGGTTTGTTTGGGAGCAATTTGTTATTTCTTAATTTTTTTTTTAACTGAAAACATTTAAACTTTTTATAATGTAGAAAAGCGATTTTAAGAAGGGCGAGTACGAGAAGATCATCTGCAAACGAAAATCAAAAGCTCTGTTTGAGACAATATTTATATTATTTCTAAAATAATGTTTTGGTTAATACTTTAATTTTTTTTTAGAGCAGCAAAAAAGACAACCATATTTTAAATATTTTGTTTATAAAGTTATGATGCGGTGCATCTCATCACAATACTATAAATTATCGATATTGTTTATAGAAATTGATGGTTAATTAAAACTAAATGTTGGATAATTCTGTGAAGAAAAATTACAATGAAAATGCAGGCATTAGACATGTTGTTATGGTACGCTTTCATTCCTACATGGTAGGAAACAGCATATAAATATTGGCCCAAATAAGAACATTGAAAATAGCCTCTGGCAGCGGCCAAAAATCCATGTATTTTGTGCTCTTAGCTAAGACATCTTGTCCGGCTGCGCGCTCCTTTGCTTCAATGCAAATGTAGAGCAGCTTATTTGGCTCTCAACTCCCCTATTCAAAGCTCCTCCTTTCGGCTATGCCATTTTTTTTTTTATTTTTTTTACTAGTTATATACTTTGAGCCATTTTATTGTTATTTAGCTACTTCATTATTTCAAAAAAATTTAGTTAATCTGGCCATTGATTATCAAAACTAGTACGTAGTCTTAAGGCTTCGTTTGAGATGTATTTTTTTATTATTATTATTTTAAAACGAGTTTAATGACACAACATTTTTAAATTTTGTATTAAACTATGATTTTTAAAAAACAATAAAAAAATTATGATTCCAAATGAAGTCTAAGACTTCATTTGGAACACCTTCCTTAACTTTTTAATCTAAAACATCAACTTTTTTAATACACAAATGTATAGTTAAATTTTTTTTTACTAAAAAATTACTTTAGAAAATAATAATAAGGCTTTCCCAAATAAAGCCTAAGACTTTGGTTTGGGAATGGCTTTGCTTACTCGCTTTTAAAGCAGTTTTTTTAGTAAAAAATTAAAATTTTAAGAAAACAAAAAAAAGTCGTCTCAAACGAAGCCTAAATCTTTTTTGATAGTCTGTACATGGAGTTGAATCCTAACCATACGAATCTTATTCTTTTTGAATTACTTATAGTTGATGAAATTGGTTTTATTACTAGCTATAATTTTTGCATTTGTTGTGAATTTTTTTGGGTGCCAATATGCTTTTCATCATCATATTAGACTGAATGCTAAAAAAAAGTTGCAGGGCATGCAGTTAGCCAATTTGGTTTGCTTCTTCAATATTGCTCTTAGGCTGTCGTTGGGATGCACTTTCTTTATGCTTCTTAAAGCGGTTTTTCTAGTACAAAAAATTGAAAAAATTTTACTATATAAAATTTTAAGAAGGAGTTTTGTGCTTCGTTTGGGACAGCTTTTTTATTTTTTTCTTAAAAAACGGAGTTTTGTACAATTTTTTTTTATTTTTGTACTAAAACTCAGTTTTAAAAAGCAATAAAAAAACGTTCCCAAACAAAACTTAATCTGTGTCGTCCACCGAAAAAACTAGGCACTAATTTTTTTACTACAATAGTGTGATGAAAGCATAAGCTATCAAACTTACCATTTCAAAACAAATCCATAGACCTCAATAGTTGTTTTAGAAGCTACAGAGTCTTCTATTACTCATACAACTTTGGATTAGAGTCAATAAATAATGAAAAAGTAAAATTTTATGAATATAAACAATAGAAGAAATTGTATGAGTATATATTGATGTAAATATACAGGATGAACTTAAAGCTGGAACTAATTTTATATGAGATAATACTATAGTATTGCATCATATCATGTACAGACACAATTCACAGTGCAAATCGACGACTTTGAAGCTCATCATTTTGATTTTTACAATAAGGAATATCATGATAAAAAATTTTTATATGAGAAATGTGCATATATATATTAGATGCACTAATTTTTTTAAGGTATGCAGTATGATTTAAATAAAAAAAATTGTTCTTTAAGGTATGCAAATGATCTACATATCTACTAAATGTGCGAGGAGAAATAATATTCTTAAAAATGAGTTATTTAGCATTTACCTCAATTTCAGCCTACATGGTAAATTAGTCAATGGACCTGCAATGAAACCTTTTATTGTTTAGTAATCTATAGAAAAATGTCTCTGACTATCGTTTAACCACTGGCAAGAGCCAGGGACTTAGAAGAGTGAAATTCTATAGGAAATGAGTGAGATCATAATAGATTTGAAAGTTATTGTATTTTCAAACCAAAGTTTAATACAACCATATTTATTATGGGCCAGGAGAATTTCCTAATTTAAGAATTTTTCTAAGTAAGGCTGTCATTTGGAACCAGCTTTCGGCTTACTGCTTTATAAAACAGAGTTTTAGCATAAATTTTTTTTTTCAAAAACATTTGTTACTAAAATTTAGTTTTTATAAAGGTAGTATGAAAGCTTTCAAACGAATCTAAGTGTCTGCCCGTAAGTTGTTTCCACATATCTCTAAATGAACTTCTGCGAAATACTACTCGTTTCTCCAATGATAACCATGCACTGAGGTTTTATCTAACATTTGTTAAAATAAGAGGAAGAATAATAGCGTTATCTTAAGTTGGTTTTTTCTTGATTTTTTAAATGGGATTGTATCTTTTCATAGACACTTTTATCCTTTGAGAGTGATATCTTAATGCACCTTCTATACAAATTATAGATGATCTTGATTATCTATTAATGTGTAAGAAAAGTGACTTTGCTAAGTAAAATAATTACTCATTTGTGTCCATTTTTTTCTATTAATGAAAAGTAAGTGATTTCATTGAATTTATTTTAAAAATTTTACATCTAATCATGATTAGAAGAGAACTCTTCCTCTCAATTAGGATCTCCCGCGAATTTGTTAATAAAAACATTCACCAATTTTTAACTTATAGATATTAGATAAGTTTTTATTTGCTCATTAATTATATTGAAACCAGAAACTTAGTTATATTAGGTAG